GGAGCGGAAACAAAACAGAATGACGGCTGACGAAACGAGAGCATATGGGTCTATGGAGATGAAGATGTTACGATGGAGTCTGGGACACACGCGATTCGACCACATTCGGAACGAAGACATTCGAGACAAGATCAAGGTCCAACCGATCGTCAATTCCCTTGCCTCCTCTCGCCTACGCTGGTATGGTCACATTTTGCGAAGGCCTCCAGACACCGTGTCCAGATCAGCCGATAATATTACTTCACAGGTACACGCCCGAGAGGCAGACCCAAATTACGATGGATGGACAACGTGAAGATCGACATGAATGCTGCTGACCTGTCTGCAGACGATGCATGGAATCGAGATCGCTGGAAAGCCTTGGTGAAAAGAGCGTACCCGACGAAAGTTGGACAACAACGCTAAGAAGAAGAAGAAGAAGAAGGGTAACTTCGTATAGGCGCAATTGAGCACGAAAAGTCAAGCAGAGTTTGTGAGTCATGCATCAAGTGGTAAGCATTCGCGCCAGTATTTGTGGACAGAGTGCTTGCGGAATTATCTCTCGGCTTTGCCGGCCGGCGGGGCCATAGATGGCGACTGCATTGACATCTCACACTTCTACTGCATCCTATTCTATCGATTGTTTGTCTCTATTCTCCAAAATCGCACGCTTTCGACCCGATTCTTTCATTGCGTCGCCTGATACGTAGCCGCCCCAAGGCGGACTTCTTTCCATGCCCGCTTTTGGCTTCGTGCCACTTATGCCCTCCGCCGAGACTCCATGTCAACTGGAGCTTGATTGCGCTCCAATTTCCGAAGTTCTACGAGCAGTCCTCAAATGAACGGATAGCAACTGGCAAACGATACATCCAACAGAACAATCCAGGACTAGTTCACTGGAATAAGCCCTTGCGTGGGATGAGGTGACTGCGTTCACCGCCGCAGAGATAGTGCCACTCTCGAGACTAAGAAGCATGTGCCAAGTTTTTCATCGGCTTATTACTTGGGGCCTCGACCACGTCATTGTCTGGTGCTCGGTCGCCCACTACATTCTTTATTCTTGCAGTCTGTCCCCTCTCCCGGATGCCACTGTTTTTTAGACTGCCTGTTATAAAAACGAAACTATTTCCAGTGTTTTGGCGGTTTCTTTTCCTTCTTCTTCATTGGGGCGGGTTAAGAGTTCTGACCATGGTTGAAGCAAACTTCATGGTCCACATGATCAAAAGTAATAGACTTTCCGACTCATTAGTGCGCAGCTGTATTTTTAACTTTATGGCTCTATTCCGTTGAATCCGTTTGTTCCAAATTTTTGGGATTGCCTTTTGCATTCTGTACTAGGAAAAGGTACTTCAAAGCCATTCACAGAGTTAGTGGATTCAAAGAAATTTAGGAAATGCCTCTAGTTTATTAGAAGAATGAATATTAGATGAAAATCTCTGTGATATTACAGAATTTCTGTGATGCCATGGATTCAACGACGGCGGCTCAAGGTGTTTTCGCATGCATAATGCGTCCATTGAACAAGTATCTGAGACAGACCAGACAACAACCTCGGCATCCAGCTGAAGCAGTAACGCATCACATCGAAAGGTCAGTTCTTTGAAAGGAGCAACTTTTTCTTCGACGTTTTAAAGACCGGAAGAACGGACCAACTATTTGGATTGCCAATGACTTTATGTCATTAACTGCATATGTTTGAATTAACCGTGTGCATAGCTGAAAACATAGACAGAAATTCATGCCCTTCAAAAAGCTGAAGAATGTTTCAGCTGATAAACTGTTAGAACTGAATTCGAATACTTTTCAGTAACTTTCTTCAGTTAAGATTTGGCATGTACTGATAAATCTATTGCCAAGGGTGTCGGTCAGCAGGCTCGCGTTGCAGCTGCCCGCAGATTCAGTTGGCTCGATCTGTGGCTGCACTTTCGCGTCCAGTTGTTGTTTTGATTTGAAATACGACCTCCAAGTAAATCTGGTTAGTAGTGGTTCATAGTGATAGCTGATTTTTGGTAAATGATAGTTGTAATTAGTGACAACTGATAGAATACAACTGCAACAGGCTAATCATTTCATTGGCAAAACATTTACATTTTGTGGAGGCCGTCGTCACTTGTGGTGTATGGTCTGCACCCGACACTTTCTGGCTTTTTGAAGGAAAGGGCAGGAGCATCTCCTCTGCAGTAACGCGAGCGCAACCCCGATTCCACCGCCGTCACAGCTTGACCTCCTCACTAAGATCCCAGAACTGGGCATCAATCTGCATTTAGCGTTCAGGGTTGTTTGATTTGATCAACTTCTTACTTCAATATTTTCCATTTTTCCTTCAATGGGGATTCCACGTCATGTCGAAGGCCAAAGAAGGGGAAACATACTTAGTGGAAAGACAGGCGGTCACACAAGGATGGGGACTGACACGCAAATTCATTGAAGTACATACCTCCGGCGATCTAGCATGGTCGTACCGCGCGCTATCGGCGCGGCACGCCCACCGACTGGCTAACCACTCGCCGCAGGTCTCTAGCCGTTTAGCAGAGAGAGCGTTAGCGTTGAAGAGGGCAGCACCGATGAGAGTCGCATCAAGTGCGAAATCAAGGGTGAGATGTGGTCCATTTCTCGGGTTCTGTGCCATTTATCATGATTTTTCACCCTGACACTACCGACATCACCTCTGCCTTGACTCCAATATGCTGCCTTCTAATCGTAAACCCGCTTTAAATGAGCTCAAAGGTAGTTTCGCGGATTAAAGTTCGAGTGTTTTTCAGGTGCTTGAGCATGCGAATGAACTACAGGACGTTTTTGCAGCGATTCTTCAGCGACCGATTTCCTGCAAAAGTCAGTTTTTTTTTTGAAATTCGCAGCTACTTTGGCTAGGACCGTTTCTTGGCAACGATTGTTATCCTGTTTCTAGAAGTGCCAACTTTCCATTTCAGGATATTGTCACCGAGTCGAAGTGGTCTATCATTTCTGATGAACAAGCGTCAATTTCGATTCAGCATGGTACTACTTTTCTGCTTCGATCTCACAATAAGGTAACAATTTTTTCCTTCTGCTCGGCCTTTTGTCTAATTAAGAATTAAGACCCACATAACAAAGTGACTCTTTACCATCAAAACTCATTTTTGTGCTCGAAATGCACAATCGACGCGGCCAAAAAAAATGACACACGTGTTAGCATAGCGGTCCACCACTCCGTCTGTCTAGAATGAGAATCGGGGACACCAGGCACTTTTATACCTAATGAAATTAGTATTATTCTCAAAGGAGAGGAAACGATCAAGGGTGGTGGAGAGCCATGTAGCGCTGCTTCATGCTTACGATGCATAGGTAAAATAAGGGATCGGATTTCGAGCAAGCCAACTAAGTTTAGAATCGACTGATTTGTGCTAGACTCATCGGGAACGGTAAAACAATTATGTCACATCGGCGTACCCGAAAGTCATTTTACTGGACATGGGAACATGGGAAGTACCATTACAATTCGGTAGTAGAATGCGTGGCGCGTCCCATTTTTCGTATCATCAAAAGAAAAGTGGTTCTACAAATTGGTCAAACGCTGGGAGTGAAAGAAGAGCTGCTGGGAGGTACAGCAGTGACAAAAAATTAAGGAAAATGGCTTGGAGCTCGCAAAAAGGGGCTCCTTTTCCGCTCGGGGCAATCCAGTCGAGTAGTGACGTCATCAAAGTGGCCTGCGCTGCCTCCTGCTGAAACGGCTAGAGTCCGACAGTGAGGATTTATCAGTTGGTGTAGCCAATCATTGGGGAAGGGGGGGGGGATGTCAAGGAACGAGGCGTCCAACAGGACAGTTCTGCTTGGCCGCTACAGCGCATGTGTCACCCGCAGTGTCACGTCTCGCTTCCTGAGAGGTCCTTCCTTAACAGTAGGCACTTGAGCCCTACCTCAACGCTCAATTTATCGTACCAGCTGTGGTCAACCGGGACCAAACTGTGTGATTCTTGCGCACGAACATGAAAGTATTGGTGTGAAATGGGTCAACAGCAAAGAAAAAAAGGAAAGAATGTCGAGCGAGAGCGAGCACGGAGAGAAGAGTATGAGCGAGAGAGTACTACGTACGAGAGGGCGCTAGACGACACCCTGCTGTTGAAGAACATTGCAGCTGGCTGCAGCTTACTTTGCAAGGCCCTAGCGCTCTTGTCGGTTGGTTTCCATGCACGGGAACGCCACATCTGTGATTGTCCTCTAGGGGTCTATTCTACAGACCGAAGGGAATCGTTCACACGTCTTCTGGCTAAATTGTGCCTTTAGGTGCTGCATATGACGGTTATACTTCTATAGCTGACTTTTTTTTCAGGATGACGATGCAGGCGTACAGCTCTTATGCACGATAAGTTCTTTACCATTCTTCAATCTCACTGAACAACAACGATCCCCAAATCACAAATTTGCTCTCAAAATCAGGAATGAATCATCAGTGTAGAAAGTTGCTCTTCATCATAGTTGAGTATCGTTTTTCGGGATTTTTCTTCTTAAGCAGCGGATTTTTATGGAGATTTCAATCGGATAACTGGTGCCTACAAGGCTGTTCCTTCTGCCCATCTTTACGATATTACGGTGTACTTTGTTGTCATTCCTATTGTGTTTCCTATGTTCTCAGACGATCTGCTACGGATCTTCGGCTCAAACAAATGACTGCTGAGGAGCTGCTCGCCGAATATTGTTTTTGCGAGCTTAATTTCTTTGTATGTAAATATTTGTTGTATTATAATAACGTACAATTTCCTTGTCAGTCATCCTAATTCGCATTTCTACTGTCCTTATTCTCAGTCGGATGTTGTCTGCCTTCTTGTGATCTTTGCTTTTCACGATAAAGTATTGTTTTTCTAGTCTTCAACCTACTGCCTGAACACTACGACATTCACAAAATCGAAATGATTTGGCTTGGAGTGACCTGAAGCCGATCAATAAGGCAGACCATGTTAACTCTGTGACTTTGATTTTTCTGGGACCCAAAAGGATGCAGGCTTTTTCAGTACAAACGACACCTCGTCCCTCCATGATTAAATGGCTGCCTGTTGAGTGCGAGTGACAGTTTGCGCTTCCATGGTAATAGGTTGATATGCCGGCTTCCGACTACTGAGGCTTCAGAGAAGAAAAGGCTATGGAAAGTAATAAATAAAATAAATATAGTAAAATAAAAAATAAAAAGAAAGTAAAAAAAATTGACTGCAGCCTCCGAGCGTCACTGGAATCCTGAAATTTGGGATCGATCGAAAAAAGGATTTCAATGTTAATTAGGCGGCGGTCTAAATAGGTGCTGTTTTGCACGGAATGTGAAATTTGAAAAGTTTAGACTATGTTCTAATAGAGCGGAATGAATGTGGGCCAGGAGGTCTTTATTGCTGCCGCGGTGCGGTTTCGCAAATGGCGTGCGTTTGCGGCAAATCCACTATGAGAGGACGATTCGTATTCCTGCCTCGCGCGGGGTAACCTGGTAATTTTCCACACCGTGGTTGGGTACTTCCTCATTTTCGGATCAGCTATAATACATGGCGAATGATATTTGATGCGTCCCTTCCCATCTCTCTGATCTTAAAGAGCCTTCAATCTAGGGAGCAATTCATCCCTGAGAAAGACTATCCCATCACTGATATTAGTGTTGCAAACAACTCATTCCGCTCATAATTTAACAGTAGTGTTTTGTGAATAGATCTGATGTGGTGAAGGAAGAACTCCTACGATACGCCATGAGGGCTAATAAGCACTTATGACACGACTGGCAAACTCATGGACACTCTTAAAAGCTTTTACTACACTCGGTAAAACTGCAGCTGACTGTAGATGTGCCACATATTTACCGATCGCAGGCGTGGCCTTGCACTGATTCTCACTGACCTCCTCTACTCATCTGTTTCATCTGCAGAGGAACTACGCAGCTAACGTTGACGTCTGGCTACCATGTTGTCAGCGACACAGCCATCATTCGTAAGCTCAGCGAGTATAAACGCACGCTATGGTACGTTTCTGCTCCGCGTTTCTGTAATTTTTCGTCGCAACGAAAAATTTGAAGCGTATCTTGCTTAAGTCTGGCCATTTGGCCCCATACGCGCCTCGGTCAGATCGTCGAAAAAGGTGGCGCGCCACACTACGCGGTAATCCCCTTCGTCCAGCGCGCGGAAACTCCACGCTCCACTGTAGGTGGAGGCACACGTCTTCTTCCCACTGGAACCAAGACTGGGAGCACGTTTCATTGTTCACATACACCCTTACTTCTGTTGCGAACGTAAGTCTAGGAAAAACAAAACATGTAAAGCTAGATAAAATAGGAAGGTTACCACAAGATGAAACCAATAAAGGGCTACTACAAGCCGACTCATCATCTTCGATTTTGGCGATTTTCTAAGGGTTTGATGTAAACAGAGCTTATTGACTTCACTCATACTTCGAAATTAATCACACAACTCTTTATGAACAGCACCTGAAGGGTCGCAGTCAGTCCATTTGCTTGTGTGGGCGCGACCCAGAAGTGGTCGGATTGAAGGACACATTCTTGAATTCGCTATGCTTACAGCTCAAGGAGGCGCCTCCAACCCAGCGATTTCGAGGACGCAATTTCCAAGAGGAAGGAAAAGCATAAGGATAATGGCCAACATACGGAGAAATCCGAACAAAATTAATGCAATACTTTCGATGATCCTAGAGAAGTTTTCCTGCATTGGTTTCATTCTGTTTGGATCCACTGTTGGGAGCGGAAACCTTCACAAATCGACGACAGGGAAGAGCATTGAAAAAAAGAACTGAGAGAAAAGCAGCAAGGAACTATGAAGAACCATGAGGAAGGATTCTCCATTACCGTGCCGTTCTACCTCATAGGTGAGCTGCAATCTCGGAATCAGACTGCGACGATTTAAAGTTTTCCATTGAAACGTACTGGTCACTAGTAAACTATATTTATGGAACTTTTCGTACGCCAGGAAAAAAAAACAAAATGCAAAATTAAATTATGAAAATTATGAACACATTTTGCTGAAGTGTTGATGAAGGCGGTAGATCAGGAGGTCCCACCACGATCATGCTTCGCAAGTGCTGACGTGGTTTCTGCGTCACATGCGTCGCAGGCTGCTGTGATCAGTTTCGCAGTGGCGCACACCAACGTGGTATGCTTGAACCATGGTTTTTATTCAATTTCACAATCATAGGGAATTCATTGCAGGACTCGAATGGGTGTAGTAGGACTCATCATCGGAGAGGTCAGTTCAATCACGGATTTTCTTTCAGAGAATTATGGACAGTGTAGTTAGTAATCATCATGAATACTGATTCCAAATATATGGAGAGTTTGGGAAAGTCAGAGGAGAACCAAACTCACAGCAGTGTAGTTGTACTATGGTTTGATGAAGCACACATAAGTTGTAGGTTGTGGAACAGAGTAAGAACTACGCCGAAGAGAGCAGGGGAAAAGTTACAGAACAGTGTGCGTTGGAAAGGTATGATATCCTGTAGAAGCTATTAGTACTGCAATGACAAATCGTTTTAGGCCCGGAGACAATGTTGTGCAGCTTCCCTTCGAAAAAACTAGGGAAGAACAAGGAACAGAGAAAGACAGCGGTGTCGAGGTAGCTTACGTACTTAATGAGGAAATCATCGACTACACCCGGCCAGCGCTACTCATTTAAGAACTTGGGGAACTGACTGCTCGGGTGATTGTATAGGTACTCGATTATGCTCAGGAAAACTTCCAAACAGACTCCTCTCTCAAACATTTACTGATGTGTTGTTCGTTAGGACAGAAAACGACTTTTCCGCTTTTCGCAGCGCGAAACTTTTATCGCTGCGGGAGCCTCAGGTCCTTCACTGATCAGGCGTGGACCCGCTCGCAGCGAAAAATGTTTCGCAGGCGAAACGCGAAAAGGTGCGGTGCTAACTTAGTTGGGGGGCACGCGGCGGCACAGCGCTCTGTTTGTCTGCTCCTTCACTGCGTAGTCCGCCGATGGCGCATATTTCGAAAAACTACCACGTGGCGACGAAATAGTGGACTGCCCCTTGGAACCTTAGAGGAGGAGACGAGCAGAGCGCCGCGCCGCCGCGTGGTCCACCCCTCCCAACTAAGTTAACACCAAAGTCGCTTCCTGTCAAAAAGAGCGACACCAAATTCACTGGCGGTTATTGGTGGATTCACTAGCGACAGGCAGAGCGAGTTTTCGCAGTTCGCAGCCACAAACATTTTTCGCTAGCAGGATCCAGGTTTACCGCTAACCTATGAGACTTGACCATTAGAGTTCCTTGCAGGCGACAATATGTTTTCTGCGCGCAAACGCGGACAAGTCGCTTTCTTTTCCTATTGGAGCCCACACAATTTACGGTACCCAAAATTCATGTCCTTAAGGTACCATCCCAATTGAGATTGGTGTATTCCAATGATTAGCGGACACCCCCAGGGCCGTATGCTATGATCCCCGTCGCGGACAAGAAGGCAGAGTCGGCGGACGAGTTGCAGCGCGTGGTGTGCGATGTAGGACGTGCAGTGGGACACTCTATTCAACTTGACGCGAAATCCCTATAGTACGCGCGCGACTCGTCCGCTGACTTTGCCTTCTTGCCGCGCGACGGGCCTCCTGGGGAGGTACCCCTATGGCATTATTTTCCGGCTTTGGTTGCATGCTAAGTATTTGATCTGTTTTGTTGTGCCCGTATTAATTTTTGGAAAACGAGAAGAGCGTCGAGTGCAGAAAACCACCACAAGAGAGGACTGCCGAGAAACAACTGGTTTTTTTCTTGGCTGTCGTCACTAGTCGTGTGCGGTCTGCACTCGACGCTTTTCGTGTCTACCGAGAAAGAGTATAACCGCTCAAGCGGAATATAAGTAAGTAAATAATTAAACAAACGAATGAATAATGACGCCATAAGCCTGGTATTAGGTCAAAGAATAAGGTATATAAAAGTGCAAGATAAGACGCGAGGAATGTCAATCGTGTACGGTTATTAACTCAGAAAAAGGTAAGCTAATCTACGATGATAAGGTCATTAACTGAAAATTAGTTCAGATATTTTCGCAAACCCATGCAATGTCTTCTTGAAAAGAGAGCTATCGTACATAGGATAGAGAAGAGAATTGGCAAGGTGATTTGCTTTTTCATGCAAAGATCTACAAGGTAAGCACTCATCTAAGGTAATCTCACAAGGAAGGCTCTCAGGTCGAAGTAGCCATTAAGCAACGGTGCTAACTTAGTTGGGGGGGGGCACGCGGCGGCGCGGCAGTCTGCTCGCCTGGCATGTTCGGAAATCCGTGGGCCAGGGGGAGTGTAGGCAGTCTAGGGGGTGGGGGGTGGGGGCAGTCACTTGACATGCGTGAAAAGCTGGAATGTTCGAGTTTACACTGTCTCGCTCGAGAGAGCCCAGGTGAGCAGACTGCCGCGCCGCCGCGTGCCCCCCCAACTAAGTTAGCACCGCAATCTCAACTATATATTAAGTGCTAAGTTT